CTGAAGGGTCATCGTCTCAGGACAGACACAGTGTTCCCTCTAAGCTGAGTTAGTGTGAGATAGCTCACAGTTTTTTAGCCTCCGGTTCACACATTTTCGTCTTAGCTCAGGAAGAGATGGCTCTGGAACAAACTAATTTATGGAGTAGCTAAATCCCTCTCTCACAACTTTAATGCCGCTGCCATTTGTTCACAAAGTAGGATGTTTGCTCACAAGACTCCACAGCTTAGAGGAAGCATTGGACACAAGGAAGTACGTCTTCAGACAGCACATAGTTAAACTGTGGAACTCACTCCCACAGGATGTGGTGATGGCCGCCAACTTGGAAGGGTTTAAAAGGGGAGTGGACAAATTTGTGGAGGATGGGGCTATCAGTGGTTGCTAGTCATGATGTATATCTAGTACCAGAAGCAGTGTGCCTCTTGATGTCAGTTGCCAGAGACGCAGGGCTATTTTTGGGCAGGAACGCACAGGAACAGAGTTCCAGCTGGCTCCCAAGCTGGCCACGCCCAGCAGGAACTCATTAGCACAATAGGCCACACCCAACAGCAGAAACTCATCAGGACTGGCTACATTAGGGGTGTGTGGCCTAACATGCAAAGGAGTTCCAGCTACAAAAAAAGGCCCTGGGTTTTGACAACAAACAAGGTAAACAGAATAACAAGCAAAAGGTGGGTGTGGCTGGATAACCACACTTCTGGTAACATGGTGGTGCGGCCTAATGTGCTAATGAGCTGTGCTGTCAGGGGTGTGGCCTAATATGCTAATGAGTTTCTGCTGTTGGGTGTGGCCTATTATGCTAATGAGTTCCTGCTGGGCTTATTCTACAAAAAGAGCCCTGCCAGAGAGTAAGGGTGGGAGGATGCTGCTGCAGTCATCTTGCTTGTCGGCTTCCCAGATGTAGCTGGTTGGCTCCTGTGTAAACAGCATGGGCCTTTAGTCTGATCCAGCAGGGCTCTTCTTTTGTTCTTGAGTCTTGGTCACAATAGCTTAAATGACAGATGTGTTCTGTTTCAGAGAGTTAAGAGAAGAATGGTGGTCTAGGGAGCACATCTGTATCATTCATCACTTCTTATGTAGACAGAATATCTAACAGATGTCTATAGCCACCCACATGGCACAGAAGCAACAGAAGTGCTTTCTGGCAAATGTCATATTTGCGTCGTTCAGACATTTACACTAAACCATGGTTTAAACTAACTCTGGTTGGTGTGCCTGTCTGTGAGCTGTTCCACCAACTGTGGGTAGTCAGGGTCCATCAATCAGGATCTGAAGTTGGTTTATTAACCACGGATAGTTTTAACTGTGGTTTCATATGATAGACGTACGCAGGCATCTTGGCTTGAAGTCTGGCTGGCTCTCTAGCAGTGCCTTCCCAGGCCCCAGACAGAAGGAAATGAAAACAGCATTTTTGGACTGAAACCAGGATCTAAATGCTTGTCTATGAGCTGAATTTTGGTTTCACAAACTAGCCACAGTTAAAATAAACCATGGGCTGATTTCGCACTAGAGCTGCCTCGATGTTGCGCCGCCGTTTTCCCTGATACTATTGGTCAATTTCACACCCGAAGCTGCGGGGCCGCATTTTGACTCGCGGCTTCGCCCGATTTCCCCCGCAGTTTTACGATCCTGTTTTTTGAGGATCATGAAACTGCGGAGGAAATCGGGCGAAGCCACGGGTCAAATGCAGCCCCGTGGCTTCTGGTGTGAAATTGACCAATGGTATCGGGGCAAACGGCGGCACAACATCGAGGCAGCTCTAGTGCGAAATCAGCCATGGTGTCATTACTGAAAAATACTATGTGCTTAGAACTGGAAGTATAGCCTTGAGAGAAAAGGCATGGATTGTGTGTGACAAACTGAGTAACCGATAAACACTTACGCAAAAAACAAACACCAAATCAGTTAAGTTATTATTACTAGGACTGAGGATTAAAGAGGGTTCCGTCCAGCATAGGAGTTTTCAGCCCATTGATTTCGAGGAGAGTACTTAGACCTGTTCTGGACTGTAACAGAACAAGGGCAGCGAAAGACGACTGTGATCTACCCCAGCTCTTCTTTCCTTCCAGCATGCAGGTCCGGTACGGGAAGGAGTGGAGCAACTATGTAGGCGGCTCCTCAGGTGACCTGGAGGAAATTTTCCTGCACCCGGGAGAGTCCATCATCCAAGCCTCCGGGAAGTACGGCTACTACCTCCGCAAACTCACGTTTACCACTGACAAGGGGCGCTACTTCCCATTTGGAAAGGACACGGGCACCAGTTTTAACGCTGCTCCACTCTTCCCGGGCACTGTCCTGCGTTACCTCAGTGGCCGCTCCGGTTCTGTCATCGATGCCATTGCGTTCCACTGGGACACCCCCATATCCGATTGCCCCAGCTGTGGAAAGTGAGAGAACCGAATAGAGAGAGGCAAGCAGACTGATCAGTGGGGCGCTTCAAGGTCCGTCCTTCCACCACCCCTCTCTTTGGGATTGATCTCCCCCTCATTCATGGGCTAGATGGCTAGATGGGTCTTTCGGCCACCCCACCCCAGGATCCAATAATTCCTCTGCCGGATAGCTTCTCTGCCACCCATTCAAATATTTCCAGCATTTCTCCAACCACCCATCCAACCATCTCTCCCTCCTCTCCTCTTCCATCCACCTGTACAAACCTTCCCCACTCACTCAACAACCTATTCATCATCTCTTCTGCCACGTTTTGTCTCCTGTTTGTTAATTGGCTCAACCATCCGTCTGTCTCCCTCATCTGCGCCCCATGACTTCACTGCTTCCAATCCAGTCAAATGATGAGCAATTCCCGTGGATGAGTTTCAGACAATAAAAATGTAATTTGAAACATGCTTCCAAGTATCTTTTTATACACGGGTGACTTAATGTGGGGGGGTGGGGTGGAACTCTATTGTATTTAATTTCAGAATGTATATGGTTAAATTTTCACAGTAGTTCATATGAATGTTAAGAGCTATTCCAAAATCACCTTAAAAGTCATCATGAGATAAAGAAACAAGATTAGCAGCAGAAAGATATGTAGCGCAAGGATGAGCTAGATCTTACAGAATCACATTTCAAATGATCGGTGGGAAAGGATGGCCTTATCTAGCTTCTGGAAAGTCCCAGGAGAAGCCCCATTTCATGTTTTCCTCCCTGTGACTGATTTGGGCAACTCTTGTTTCACGTCTTGGGATATGAACATGGATCCCAGCCTTGATGCTTAATTCGGCCTTTAGACCAAGACAAGAACATGGGACAGAAGGGGGACGAGGAAGCAATTGTTGAAACCCCTTCAGAAGGTGAATCATTGGTCCATCAACCCTCAAAGCCAGTTTTCAGAAGATGGCAGAGTAATCTTGGATGTCCTCTTCCTGGCCATTAATTAAGTAAGATTTTACTGGTAACAAAGTCACCAGAAAGGACACTCAACTTCTTGAAATTATTCAACTTCAGCCTTTATTGGCAGGCTCCGTTCCTCGTGAAATATTCCACCTATATTAATAATAGTGGCTGATCACCTGGCAAGACTCTAGTGATCATCATGCAGATTTTGAAAAAAAAATTGATAAATTTAAGGTTGCCAACCTCCAGGTGGCACGTGGAGATCTCCCACAATTGCAACAGAGTACAGTTCCCCTAGAGAAAATGGCTGCTTTGGAGGGTTGGCTCTATAGACCTAGACGGAAGTTTTGCTGGTGCTTGAGAAACAAGCTAGTTCAGTAGGTGTCTAATGCAGGGGGGGTGTCGCCAGAGGGGCGTCCTACCTCACAGGACGGATTAAAGCCCTGGGTGAGCCGGGTTAGGCCCGCGGGCCATATGTTTGACATCCCTGCTCTATGGCATTATATCCTTCCCCTCCCCAAAATCCTGCCCTCCTTCAGGCTCCACCCTCAAATCTCCAGGAATCTCTCAGCCCAGAGTTGGCCACTCCACCTTATTTACAGACGCCCCTCCCAACCATAAACAGTTTTTCACAATAAATAAATAAATCTTGAAACAATCTCGCAGTCTGGAGATCATCCACTTGCTCATCCTCCAGTGTCATATATGCCGTGAGGGGTCAGCAATGCCCTTCTGCTGTCTATACTGTACAAAGAGAACAGCACCTTCACAAAAGAATACATGGACAGAAATTTAACATTATACATCACAGCAGGGGTCGTTTCGTAGAAAAAGAGCTAGGGGAACTCATTAGCATAACTCATTAGCATATGCCACACCCCCTGACATCAGGGGCCCGGCGGTGGACCTGCAAGGCCGGCGGGAGGGCGAGGAAGCCCCGCGAAGGCCCTCCCTGGCCCCAGGCAGGCAGGGGTGGGGAGAGACAGGGAGGAAGTAACTTATCCTCCCTCTTCTCCTGCCTCCTCCTGGCTGAATGAGGGCCGGAAGCGGGGCAGCCGGAAGCAGGGGGCGGGGCTTTGTCATGTGCCCCACCCCCCGCACCTCACCCGGGGGAACTGCGATCCCCCGCGATCCCCCCCGAATCGACCTCTGCATCACAGTGATCAGAAATCAGTGGGGGAACATTTCAGTCTTCCAGTACACAGTGCTGCTGATCTAATAGCTATATGCTGTCGAAGGCTTTCACGGCCGGAGTTCATTAGCTGTTGTAGCTTTTCCAGCTTGTGTGGCCGTAGTCTTGGCATTGTAGGACCTGACGTTTTGCCAGTAGCTGTGACTGGCATCCTCAGAGGTATAACACAGAAAGACAGAGTAATCTCTGTGTCAAGCTGTTATTCCGTCTTTCTGTGTTACACCTCTGTGTTATACTTCGTCTTTCTGTGTTATACCTCTGAGGATGCCAGTCACAGATACTGGCGAAACGTCAGGTCCTACAATGCCAAGACCACAGCCATACAACCCGGAAAATCTACAACAGCTAAAATTACTGTTCTCTTTCAAAAGAACTTCAAAGGTCGAATCCAATGCAAAAGTGAAGAATTAGAATTCATCAGGAAGTTTAACACTATCTCTACTCCCACCTTCCTCCCAGCTTGAATCAGGGCCTTGGTTTCCTCATTTACTATAGGCACAAATGTCTCAGCATGATCCATCCTTTACAGATGTTAATTAATTCAACTGTATCTTGGACAGCACAACCAAATCTGCTTAACTTCTCTCAGACTGCAGTATCCAATGAGGTCCCTCTTCTCCATGAATCTGTCTAATCCTTGTTCAAAGCCACGCATGCTAGCAGCCATCTCTATGTCTACTGATAATTAATACCACAATTTAATTACTTGCTTAGTCAAGAAGAATATCTCTTTCTATGTATGTTGCTTTGATCTCAATTAATGGAATTGATTAATGGATTAACAGAGTTCCTCACATATCCAGACACTCATGCAGAGAGGCCCCCTCCCTCCTCACAAATGGACTTCTCAACTCTGGCAAGCCTAACCAGAAATTGCTTGGCCTATATTTTGCTCTAGTCAGTCTAGCTGCAAAAATGCAATTAGCTGCAGGCATTATATAGTTGGAAACCTTCCAATCTCTGCTATAACCACCGCGCATTTAATTCCCTAGCCACAGTTCTGTTCTTGATTCTGACGTTTACGATCTTGAATACCTAAATTCTGGGGTCCCCCCATTATAGGTTGATGACAATGGCTGTGTTCAATCTAATTAACAGCCCTTCTGCCTTTGTGACAATTTTAATGAATGCAAGTCTCATATAAGAAGTCTGAATTAGGTGCCCATACTAAAGAGCACATAATGTAAACAAACATGGTCATAGGAAACTCTGGACATCAGATTTGACCACATGGTGGGGAAATCAGCATATTGCTTCTACCTTTTGATTGGTTGAGCTCTCTCTCCCCCCCCCCTTTTCCACCTGAACCCCTAAAATGCGACCTGGTAAGGATGGGGTGTTTCTCAGATTTCTGCCACCTAAACCCATGAAAGACTGTCTTATCTTGCCGGAGGGGTGCAAGTAATAGCCAGAGATGTTTCTTGTACTGTTCAATGAAAAAAAAATTATCTATTAACACTTTTATCTTTCTCTGCCGCCCCTTGTTCCTTTTATCGCTCTGTGGCTAGAAATAATCTTTTTTGTTGCATAAAAACTGCCTGAGAAAAGTCTTTGCTGCATTTCCCACCATGGGCCAGGCTGACCTGGAGCTCTACGCAGGAAGACCCATGCCTGACGGGGAGTGGGGAGCACTTTGGGAAAGCAAGGAACTCTCCCCCAACAGACATCCAGCTCTGACGGGCAGCTGATGAGAGACACAGAGACAGGACTTCAGAGTCCAAAGGGCTAATTCTTGGGTGTTGACAGCTATCCCAAACATGGATCTGGGGAAATCACATGGTGAATGTAATTTCCTAATTTTTAAAAAATCACATTCTGAAAACCATTATGGACCCTCATAAGTCAAAAGCAAAGGTCAGAGAGGTGAAGTGGAAAAGATGCTCCAAAGTGATCCAGCCCAACAGAGAAACTGTGCACAGAAGGGATCCTGTACGGCTGGTCACATGGAGGGTGGAGTGACTGGGCCCACCGAGATGCCCCCTTTCCAGCTTGGGCAGGTTGGGGAAAGGCTTTACAAAAGCAGAGATTGCTAAGAAGGAGGAGGAGGAAGGTCGATCATAAGAAGGCTGGAGAGAATAGAAATAGCAAGGCCAACTTTTTCTCTGGACGGCAGACTGAAATCTAGCCTGTGAAGCTTTTGCTATCTGTGCCTCTAAGTGTTGTTTTTTTGTGGGTGGGGGGGGATCTTCACCTGTTGTGTTTCTGCTTCTCATACAGGTGCTGAAAGCTTGGGCCAAGCCTGTAGCCAGAAAAATTTGGGTGGGAGGCAAATACCAGGAGCAGGGCACTTGATTACATCACCACCAAGTAGATTAGTGGAAATCTAATTAGTGGTGATCTAATTAGATGAGAGGAGCTGCGGTGGCTCAAGTGGTTAAGACGCTGAACTGCAGGCTGTGGAAGGTCAGCAGTTCAGCAGTTCGAGACCCGAGTGTGCCGCATGATGGAGTGAGCTCCCATCTCTAGTTCCAGCTCCTGCCAACCTAGCAGTTCGAAAGCAAGAAATTGCAAGAAGATAAATAGGTACCACTTCGGTGGGAAGGTAACAGCATTGGTGTTTAGTCATGCCGGCCAAATGACCATGTAGGGTTGCCAAATGTTTTTTGGCCGGGAGTGGGGGGCTCCCGGCCGGTGTCTTAGGCGCGCGTGTGTGTCGTTTTCCCCTCAAATGGCGTGGCCCCGCCCCCAGCGTGCAACATCACTTCCGGGTGATGCGCACACGGGGGTGAGGTTTCCCCCGGGCCCCGATTCCGCGGGAGCGGAAATCGGGGCTCGAAAGCGGAGATGAGCACCGCAACCCTAGAGTCGGATTCGACTGGCTTTCGAGCAAGGGAACCTTTAATTAGATGAGAGCCGGGGAAGGGTGAATTCCAGAGGGGGTGTTGCCCCAAGGGCCCCAGTGGCTATGGGCCTGGCTTCAGAGCCCCACCAGAGAAAGGCTCACCACCTTATCAAAGATGGTTGTTCTCATTCAGACTAGCCCGGGAGAAAGTGCACTTGGGTAAGTGGGGAAGAAGTTCCCTGCTATAGAGCCTGCCTGTTAAAGAGATCCTCTCCTCGTTTTTCAAAGGCCCGGCCTAAGGAGAGTTGTGCTTTTCCAGCCCTTGGGTTGCAATGAACAACTTTAGCCTCTAGGTGGAAATGTTTTGCCACAAGAGGCCCACTGCATTGCAGGTGAATTATTATTAATAGCTA